CGTTACAAAAAGTGAAGCTTCTTAAATGATGGGGGCAAAAAGCAAACGCAAAAGCCAAAGAGTGTAATAATGCAATCAATCAATGAACAAGCACCAACGAAGAGTTGGATTAAGTGGTAAGTGACTTGTTTCAGTTTAAGTAATATCTCAAGTTTGAGATCTTATGTACACAACAGCTTTCGTTGGGAAATTCACTCACCATTTTTAGGTGCGTGATGAAGGTCGATTCGGATTAATCAGAACGAAACCCCAGATACCAGACGAAAAATCAAAAAAAAAAAATCAATGAACAAGTTGATTAATTTAAATTAAAGCTTTAATTTTGTCGTCTCTCGTCAAATATTTTGCAACGGAATAATCTTGTTGATTGACATTTGACTTTTGTCTATCCCACAAGTAAGGAATTCGGCTATATATTATTCTTTTTTTTGAACATATTTGCAAGGGGCGGGTTTCGAACCCAACCCGAAGAGGGGGAATGCACTGGGGTGGCTATTGCTATTAGGCTGCAAGGGTCAGTTGCGGCTATATATTATTCTTTCATTGAATAATCCTACAAAAATTAATAAACTAGAGTCCAACTAAGTTGAAGGTATCTGTTGTTTCTAAGGAAGACCAACTCAGTTTGAGAACAAATCAAGAAAGAATTACTCAAATTCATTAGTAAAATTATATAATAATTAATTATATAATAATATATCATAATTATAAATTTATAATATCATAAATTTACAATACAACATAATATTATAAATATATCATTTTTTGTTTATTTAGTCCTTGGGAGTGGAACACCCTCACCCATTGTAGAGTTCAAATTAAACTATTTAATGGTAGGGTTACCTCAACATGGTATTCACATGCGTTCCATTGCCGCGGAAAGATCAGTCTTAGGCCACTAACGTAAACGAGGATTGACGTCGTCGTTGACTAAATTATAATTATTGCATGGGATCCCACATTAGATGCTCCAATCACGTTCTTGATCTTTATGTTTTTACGATGCCCACATCTTCTTTCTTTGTTGACCTTCACAATTGATGTTTACTCGGTTTGACATGTGAATATAGTGTAAGTAAATGAAGGTTGTTTTCAGTAATCTGAAAACTTTGTCCATCGAAAAACAAAAAAGTTATTCCCCTTTTTTTTTTTCTTTTTTTTTCCTTAATGTATAAGTAATCTGCAATTAGACTTGAGAAGCTCATTAAAAAAGGAAAAAAAGTTACATGAGAATTATTGACAAAAGAAGATATTTTTCAAGTAATAAATGAGAATCTATCTCTTAACCAATTGAATCTAAATATTAAAACTTAGGGATAAACTATTAAGTTCGAAGAATAGTTCATCATAAAAAGGAAAACTTAAGAAGCACTCAAATCAGAAACAAAATAGAAACTTCACAAAATAAAAGGAAATTACTAAAAGGGAAAGGGATTTTCTAATGTGTCATCTTATAATATAAGTTGATTGTGGAATAAATTCACCTTCTGATCATAAATTTATATAAAAAATTTAACATTAATTTTACTATTAATGTTATACAAATAAATTTAATAAGATGACTAATAAATTAAATGCTAATTTTTATGTTTGGGTTTTTTTAATTTATATCTTGGGACATAAGTTAAAGGTATCTTTTTATTATAAATATATATTGAAAAAATATAAAAACTGATAATTTTAATGTTGATGTTAAGCTTTATACAAG